TATTCTACCTCCCCCGTCCCTCCCTCCTCTCTCTCTCTCTCTCTCTCTCGTTCGTGAAGAAGAGAACGAAAGTGCAAAGGAAGGGAAGGGAAACATTGAGAATATAATACGTGGAGAAGAGGAAGAGAGAGAGAGAGAGAGAGATAGGAAGAGGATACGCGTTTTACGGAGATTTTTCCATCGACCAATTTCGCGGCTCGAATCATTGGCCCGCGATGGAAAATTACACTTTAATTCGCGGGCGAGGCGTTACGAGAGCTACTCTCGATCCGAGATACGCTCGGCGAAATTGCCACGAGGGCTTAACGATAACGCCGCCCTGTGAAATTGTGAAACGGCGAGGAGAAGTTACGAACGTAAGATCGAGTTAGGTGGTGGACGGTCTTCATCCCCCTTCGAACAATTCCGCCCCGATGTTTTCGCTCCCGTGTTACCGTGTTAGATTAACTCGGCGCGGATCGCGAACTCTTCCTCGTTGGAAAGTCGTCGAGGACCTGTGGATCCTTGGGGCGAGTAAATTGGTCGAACGAGGAAATTCGGTTAGATACGATCCGACCGTAAGCTAACCGCTTCCTTGCCTTGGCTATTTGCGAGAGGTTTCGATCGCGAAAAACTCCGTTGGAAACGAAAAAAAAAAAAGGAAGGAGGGAAATAAAATTACAAGTTCGCAAATTACGCGAGCAAAGCTAGGGAGGAAAGCTAGAGAGGAGTAGGTGGCGGTTCATTGTCGCCAAGTTTATCGCCGGAAGGGGAAACGAGGGGACGGGATGAAAGACGGCGTTATTTCGAGGAGAATTCCTCGAATAAATATTTTCGTTGCGCGGCAAGCAATTTCCTCGGGAGCCGTGGAAATATTCGACAGCGCATCCGCCACGGTTCCGGTGGTGGACCCGTGCCGGCCGAAACAGGAAGCGGCCGAAGGAATTCAGGTCGATCCCGACACCCCATTGTGCGCTGGTCACCGGCCGACGATAACCGACTTTTCTACCGAGAATTCTGCGAATCGAAATCGCGGGTCGAGCGATAGTCGCGCGTGGTCGACCGACCGGAAATGCGACGCGGTCCAATCTCTCTCTCTCTCTCTCTCTCTCTCTCTCTCTGCGGCAGGGGAATTGGGGACGAGGAGGAGTCCTGGAAGCGGAACGTTCCGCTTCTTAACTCCCTTTTCCCTTCTGACTCGCCCATTGGCCCGTAATGGATACAGAGATAGATGGTTACGTTGCACACGGGGAGGATCGTTGACCGTGCAACTTTTAAGCCGGCCACGGAATCCTGGAGTTCGAGTTTCTTCCTCGAACGGTCTTCTCTTTCGCCTATCGACAAAAGATCCGGCCAGTCTCGCCAAAGAAAAGAGAAGTTCTATGGAAATGGAATATATATATATATATGTATATGTGTATCGTTGATAGGGTAGAAACGATTGCTATTTTTCGCCATCCCCTTCGCCTGCTCTCCCCGTCTCGTATGTATTCGTGTACGTGGTCGCGAAATCCAATAAATTCGAAACAATTTGCGATATTGGGGCCAATTCGACCGCGTGAACAACCCCCGAGTTTCTCGATGTCTATCGACGGTTTACCGGCCAACTAAGTTATCTATCTATGGGCGTTAATTGGTTAAACTTTATCAGGCGGAAAAAGGTGGTCGACTCGACGGTGTTGCTGGTCTCGCCGCATCCGCGCCAACTGTCCCTGTAATCGTTGATTCCTCCCTTTCTCTTTATCCGTTTTTTCTTTTATCCGCCTTTCTTCTCTCTCTCTCTCTCTCTGTTTTTTCTGTTATTTCTACTTCTTCTGTTTCTTTGTTCGTTTCTCCTCGGCAAAAGCATCGGAAAAAGGCAATTTCATTGTAGCGGACTGTTTCCCGGCCAATAGCCGGGTTTTTTTATTTTATTTTATTTTTACGCCGGCTGGCGTGGACACACCTCGTAGAAAGCGGAAAAACGAGGAAACGAAGCGTCGAGTAAATAGCGGCCGCTTTTC